CCTCCCACCCCCAGAGTCATGGTCGTAGGCAGGTGGAGGGTGAGAATGAGTAATTGTGCCGCCAGGGTATCCTTGACAGGGGGGTAACTTCTGCAACCAGACACATTCACTCTGGTTCCGTCCGCGTCTCAGGAGGACCCTGGCACAGACCAGCCGAGCCTCAGCCTGTGCTCACTGATCATGCTAATGACGACAGATTTCCGCCCCTCTGGCACTTGATCACCAGCTGCCTGGGGTCTTATCACCATTTCCCAGGGCAGAGCAGGCCACCCCCAGCTCCTGTCCACGAGAACCTTTTTGTCTTACTCTGTGTCACCCAGAACGGAGCCAATTAGTGCACTCATTCATTTCTCCACCCTCCACCCCTTTAATTACAAACAGTGCTGAGAGTTGAATAACACAGAACAAAAGACGGATTTATTTACCCCAGGACATAAACAAGATTATCAGAAACCAGCATTCAGATGCCCTTAGCTCCTGGGATAATTTTAATTGGCTGACCCCTGCCTTACAGAAATCTCAGGTCTTTCCACATAATTATCAAACCCTGAGAGTTTTGCCTGCTTGAATTATTTGTTGGCACATTCACCACCCTGGCTCCTTGCTCTCATTGGACAATTATAAGCATCTCTGTTGGGGCTGTAATACAGGCTCTTTTGAGACAAGGCAGGAAGCCTGAAAGAAATTCTCTTTTCCTGGTGAAGTCCCTGCTGCCAGCTACCAGGAATGACTGAGGTACATAAACAGGATCAGGGAGGAGGCAAAATTACATTGGTTAGCATGTGTTTGGTTACAAATCATTTAACCTCACATTAAAATGGTATTAAGCCCAAAAGGGACTCTGTTGGCTTCTGTAAACTCAAACGCCAACCACTGAAGCCGTCAGAGCTCAATTAAGGGGCTTTAAGCCTGTCATGAGGCTCAGTTTCTCTCTACATCTCCCACCTGTCTTTCTTGGTGTTGCCTTCTCTCCCGTGGGAAAATGGTCCCTGGTACACCTGAGCTTCCAACCTATCGGCTCTGAGAATGGAGTCTCATTGGACCAGCATTGGTCACGTGCCCACCCTTGACCCAATCACTGTGCCACTGGAGGATGAAATACACCCATTGGCTAGACCTGGGTCTCATACCCAAGCCTGTCTTTGGAGTCTGAGGCCAATCCTATCTGAACCTTATGGACTGAGGGTGTCAGAGTCGTGAGTTCCCCTGCTCCAAAAAATTGGAATGCTGTGCGCAGAGGAAAGGAGATGGATGCTGAACGGATAAAACAATGGATGTCCATCAGAGTACTCCTTTGGGGTGGGGATTACAGAACACCCCACAGTCTTCCTGGGGCAACCTGGAAGTGGTCACTTGAGCGTCTGTTATGGGTTGAATTGTGTCTAGGAAAAAAGGTACAGTAACAAATATTAAAAGCTTCCAGATTCTGAGCAGCTACAGTGTAACAAGCTCCCTGCTCCGTTCTCTGTCACTGCCATTCCTGTCCGCAACCCGTATCATGATCCCCACTTTACTGATATGAAAACAGAGGCTTTGGAGGGATTAATCACCTGATCAAGGTCACATGGCTAACAAGTCAAAGCTGTGTTTCAAACTCGAGTCACCTGTCAGAACCCAAAGCATCTTCCCTAAAACAAAAGACCACTGAGACAGACGGCAGAATATTTCCAGTTCAACTCCAAGCTTTACCACAGGGGTCCATGGCCCCTCCCCTATTGACTTCCAGTCAAGAATGTGGTCCCCTCTGTTGATCTGAAGGCATCCAACTCTCAGTTTCACATAACAATAATAATAATAGTACACACAGTTACAACGTAGCAGCAAACAGTAGTTGTCATTTACTGAGTATTTGCAACATGCTAGGCGTCTTTTTAGGTGTTTGTCATTTAATCTTCACAACTGCTCTCCCAAGCGGGAACAGCGATTATCCCCATTTCATAGGCGCGTAAACAGCACAGCTAGAGGGGCAACACTTGGATCTGAATCCAAGTTCAACTATTTCCAGTGCTGGTTCTCTTTCCCCGGGAGGTAAATGAATCTGCTTTCTCCTCGGCAACTGGTTCCTTCTTTCTGGGGATTTCGACATTCTAAGCCCTTAAATGCATGCAGGTGCTCGGGAGTGTGTGTGAGTTCTTGTTCGAGCAGCTGTTTGTAGGCAATGAGGGCTGCATGGAAAGATGTCCACAGAGGATGGGAGATGCTCAGACTTCACTTCCCCTGGTGTGGAGGGGAGGCAGGGCAGAGGACTGGCCTGGGCCCTGCATGGTCTGCAAACTCAGTATATTCTAAAAAGAGTATTTGGAAGAAATAGACCCAGCACAGAGAAATATTCACAACAGCAATTTTATTTCTGGTTAATTCTTTGTGTTTTCTAGTTTTCCCACAATCAACAAGTGTTATTGTCAAAGTAAGAGGGAAAAGATTTGTCTTAATTTCATGATTGTTCAGTGGGAGAAAGAAATTTGCAAACAAAATTTGGGAAATCGGAAAACAGAGTAAGGGGTAGGGCAGAGTAGGGGTGGTCGGGCTGGAGGATATGCAAATCCTTTGAGTGGATTTTCCACTTCAGTGAGTTCTTTTTCTTCTTTTAGCTTCTGTCTTTTGAAGGTATAGCTTAGAATACAGCTATTATATATTCCAAATGTCATATTCCTCAACACCTGTTTGAAAGAGCATATTTTATTGAGAAACAAGTGCCACTGAAGCTGAGAGAAAGACAGTTTGTACCAAAGTGCCAGAAGTCGAGCGACTGCTAGATGAGAAACCGTTGTGTACTCCTGAGGCTGTCCTTGAACAGGATGCAGACAGCTGCAGAGGACAAAGCCAGAGAAGGCAGAGAAAGTCTCTTCAAGGAAGATATTGTCAGGAAATTGAACACTGAGCCACCCCATTCAGACCACCGAAACAATGATGCCTGAAAGAGATGAGCGGGAAAATTGCCTCCCAAATGGTTAGCTGAATTGTGAGTTCAAAATTATCAGTTGTGAAAAGAAATTACAGAGAGAACATGGGGAGAAGGGGAGGAGGGGGAGGAGAGGGGGAGAGGGAGAGGAAACAATAGTGGTAAACTAAATTCTTACCTGTCACTCTTCAGAAAAGCAGGGGAAGAATGCAGCATGGGGGAAAAGATGCATTTGGGGTCAGATAAACAAAAACATGGACGTTGCAACCCTGTCTTGGTAATGATCAATCTAGCAGCCTCTTCTAGCACGCTGAGCCCTCTGGGGAAGAAACTGTCGTGCCCAAGCTTTGTGCCAGGAATATGAAGCCTCTTCTTTTCAAAGGATAACACTTTTCTCTTTGTTTCTGTGTGCAGAATGGGGATGGAAACTGACATTTATTTGTGCATTTGTAAAGTCATGCTTGCACAGGGGTTAGGGAAAAAATTCAAACAGTATGAAAGGCTATCCAGTGTAAAGTAAGTTACGCTTTATGCTAGACATCTTCTGCTTGTCCCTCCAGATACACTTTCCACCAAGTCCTATATACCCTCAGGCTTCTAGGTGGGTTGAGCTGATGAGGGGCACTGGCAGGAGATCAGAGGAGAGCAGCAGGGTGTGTTTCTAGCATCCTTCCTGCAAGGTTACCTCAGACTGGCTGTATCCCTCAACTACAGGTCATTGCTCCTCTCAAGGAAGCCTTCTCAACATGATCTCTCTCCTTTGAGGGGCTGGTAACCACTCCTTCCCTTTGTTTCTTAGCAATGGTCACATCTTCACTGATCCCAGCTCTCAGTTACTGCCCTTTCTCCTGTGGTCCATTACACCCAAACCTGTGTGAATGGCCCCTTTGTAACTCTCCTCATATCTGCCATATGTGTCCTGCTGGGCTCTGACTCATACCCCCTCCCACACCTAATCTTTCCCATGTACTCTTATTCCCCACTTCAAGGCAACACCTGGTACAATTTCCTATATATCATTCTCATCTCTCACTCATTCTGTTTCTAATAAAGTTACCATATGATACACTTTGTCTTCCTCCCTTTTAAAAAACTTAATATACCTTGAAGATGGTGAATAATGTTTTCTATCTGCACAATTTCTGCTCCATCCGTTCCCCACTCTTTTCCACCATGCTCTGCTTCTGGAGACTGACTTGTAGCATCAGTGGGCTCCCTTGCCCCGTAGCACCTAGATGGGCCTTGCCAATTGGAGGTGCTAATAATAAATAAGAAGGCAGAAGGAATATGAGCTTTGGGTGTCTATCCTTCCTGCTCCCTCTATGCCAGGATGCTGTGCTTGGTTGCTTCCCTCTTCAGAAGGCTACTGCTTTGTCGTTGGACAGCCCTCTCCTGCAGGTTCTTCTCATTCTGCTAACTGCTCCCTCCCTTTGTCCCTCAGGTCTAGCATTGGTAACAGCTCCCCACTCTTGTCAATCTTGAATTACTGTACAATCCCCTTTTGGTTTTTGCTCACTTTGCCTACACCTTTGGAAGTAATCCCTTGATTAAACTCTCAGTTATCCCCCTTTGACTATGTTGCCTCTATCTTCCCAGGACCCTAACATCTGGATCATCTGGTAGCAAACACATAGCGTGAACTCATGCTTTTTTTTTTAATAACTGAGTAGTATTCCATTGTAAGAATGCAACATAATTTATTTAATCAATTCTTTGTTCATAGATATTTGAGGTGAAACTCAGAGTTATTTACAACCTAAGAGGTCCCTGGCATATTTTTATAGAAAAATCTCATTTAGTCCTCATATCTACCCTGTGAGATAAGGACTACTGTTTCATACATTTCTGAGTAGAGGAAATGGGTTTATACAGGTGGTGGTAGGGCTCAAGGTGACAGAGATATTCAGTATAGACACAGGATCTGAACCCAGCTCTGACTCCAAAGTCCATAGCATATTGGATTCTGGTGTGACACTTAAGATCTACCCTCAGTAACAAGTGTTGAGATTTTGTTTCATCTTTATAGTTTTAATGCATTTGGTTTTTTAAAATTTTGTACTCTTTTTCTTCTTCTTCTCTTTTTCTTTTTTCTCCTTAACAGAGGCACTGGGGATTGAACCCAGGACCTCCTGCACACCAAGCATGCCCTCTACCACTGAGCTATACCCCTCACCCCCTTTAAATACAGTTATTTTTTTTAACATTTTTTATTGATTCATAATCATTTTACAGTGTTGTGTCAAATTCCAGTGTTCAGCACAATTTTTCAGTCATTCATGGACATATACACACTCATTGTCACATTTTTTTTCTCTGTGATTTATCATAACATTTTGTGTATATTTCCAATACAGTTATTTATTGAAGTGTAGCATACATACAGAAAAATACACAATTCAAAATGTACCGCATTTAATGTTCACAATGTGAACACACTCGTGGAATCACCAACGTGATCAAGTGGTAGAATATTATCGACAGCACAGAGCCTCCCTGGGCCCCCACTCCCAGTCACCATTGCCCCCTTCTCTCCAGAGATAATCTCTATCTTCTTTTCTTCTCTGTCTGATACAATGTTATATCTATCAATTGAGTACTTCACTTCAGCTATTGTGTGATACATTTATAAACTTTTTGGCGAAGAAGGATTAACAGGAATTGAATGCACTCTTCGACCTGAAAACACTAAAAAAGTCAGACAATAACTAAGAAACAAGGATTTTTAGGACATTAGACATCAGGCAATGAAGGATAGTAATCTCTCAGAGACAGGAAACAAAAAAGACAAGGTGAGTCCTGTGACTGCCTAAGTTTACTAACTGGAGAGAGTTTGCAGATTGCAAAACAGGGAAAGGGGATGGCAGTCACTACGTGGAGGAGGGAAAGCTGGGAGTCCAGGGAGGCCGAGGCTTCTAGAATTCACAGGGAAGAGTGATGAAGAGGATAAAGCTGCATGGAAGAGAACCTGGAAGATCCGCAGAAGGTTCTCCTCAAGCCTCCCGCTGAGTGCTGACCAGTGCATACATGTGAGGAAACAGACTGTGAACGAGCTGCTCAAAAGGATTAGAGGGAGATAACCAATTTCACATGGGACCAGGAATAGCATCTGGTCCCCCTAGCCAGACTGTAAAAGCCTATACTTTATGAGGAATTAACTAGGATACTCAGAAAGGTTTGCCTCAGTAATGGCAAGATTAACCTTAGAGCAAATCTCCCTAACAAAGCTTAAAAGCAAATCTTGAAAGGATCAAGCTTAACTATGGTCCTGAACAAAACTCATGAACTTCTTCTACAGGAACACAAGAATACCCAGCACCCAACAAGGTAAAATGCACAATGTCTAGCATCCAATCAAAAATGATCAGGCATTTTTTTTTCAAATAGGAAAATATGACCCATAATAACATAAAAATCAATCAATTGAAATGGATTCAGATATGACACAAGACAAGAACATTAGTGGTTAAGTAGCTCCAGGAAAGATTGAGCATGTTATATGGAGACATGGAAGATTGAAAAAGAACAAATTGAATTTCTAGAGATGAAAAATACAATGTCTGAGATGACAAATATGCTGGATGGGATTAATACACACTGAAGAAGGAAAGATTAGTGAACTTGATGATATATCTGTCTATTTTCTTAAACATGTTTGTCCTACTTATTTTAAAGCTTGTGTCTGATGACTCATATCTGGATCACCTTTGGGTTTGCTTCTATTGTTTCTTGTTTCCCTTGATCTTTTGTTATCTGGGCCTGTCTCCTAGCTATGGGTAATTTTTGATTGATTGCCAGATAATGTGCGTGTGCATGTGCGTGTGTGTGCATGTGAGTGTACATGTGCTTGTGTGTGTTAATAGGTCATTCAAGGAGAGGGGACTTCCTTTCAGGTCACAGAGCTGGAAGGATGTGTCTCAGGCTCTGATGGAGGGTTTTTGTTTGTTTGTTTGGTTTTGGTTTTTTGGGGTTTTTTTGTCACAAGGAAAGGTTTTTTTGGAAGAGAAGAAAACAAGGCCAGCTCCCAGAGAAGGAGATTGAATTCTGATGAAATTTGTTTGTGTGCCTGGATTCAGATGGCTTGCCATCCAAGACATGCCATTTCTTTGAGTCCATAAATAAGGTTTTGTTGTGGCTATGGTGATTGTTACTGTCTTCCTTAAGTTGATCTGAGTTGAGATTTTGTCACCTGCCTTGGAAAGAGTTGACTAGTTTAACTCTCTGTGTATAAGGACACCAGTCATGGAATTAGGGCTCCCCTTAATCCAGGATGACCTCATTGTAACTTGATTATATCTACAAGTTAGGTCACAATGACAGGCACCTAGGGTTTAGGAGCTGAATATATCTTATGTGGGGTGGGAGGGGGACACAAATTCTACCCATACAGGTAGGAAGCAGGGTAGAGTGTGTACTGAACAGGAAAATGTGAACTACGTGGAAGTCCACAGGAATACCTGGTGGGAGAGTGTTTCCCTACCTGGGATGGGGGCACTGGGGGGGGGGTGGAGATGTTGTATGTGGATGTTAAAGCAAAGGTTTCCCCCAGAAGGCTAGAGAAGTTAAAATCTTCCAGGTGGCTTTGAAATGCCTTGTTTTGGCAGGCCTTGCAAAGATAACCGCGGGTTGTTCTGAACAGAACACGCACACACACACACATCTACACATCCCTTTAAGCATGAAGCTGTGTCGCACAGTGCTCAAAGCCCCTGAATTTGGAATCATAAAACTGGATGCTCAGGCAACCTCCACCACCAACAAAGTGCGAAATCCCAAGCGCTCCAATTTCTGTCTTTGTAAAACGGGATTCATAATCCCCTAATTCCAGCCTGTCTGGCAGCCCAGCAGGGGGTGCGATGAAGCATGTAAAAATGGGAAGCATTACCTATGGAGGTAGCTTCCGCCATAGGCTAATCTCTAGTGGGGGAAATTCACCAAGAACATTCCTACAGGCCACACCACGTGCCCTATTGCTGGGCCTGGTCAACCAAAATAAAGAGAAAGGGGAGGAGAGAGAGGTTAACGTTGCATTTTCTTCTCTCTGTTTACAAAGATTCAAATTCACTGTTGCCCTCTCTTGGAAGGCAGTTTGGAGAACAGCACAGGAAGGGGGTGGAGCCCCACAGCCTCCCCCCCTCAGGGTGGGGCATGTAGCCAGCAGTAATCCTGCTTCAATCTGATGAAGTACAGGAATCCATGGAGATGGGGCAAATACACATTATCCAGCGATATTTCATTTTGCCAGGAATTCATCAAGAGTTTGCTAGCTATCAGGTGTCATGGGGGTCCCAAGTTTTCCTTTTGCCCTGGGCCCTATCCTTTGTACATCCAGTGATAGCATTTCAGTAGAAATCCCCAGGAGAAGTTCTCTGGGTGCTAGAAGCAACCCTGACAAGTCTATTAAAGATTTCGGAAAATGATGAATTTTCCAATAGGTTTTTAATGCCAGACATATGTAGTACCGACTGACATGTGAGTGTTTAGCAGATTTTGAGATTTCACTTCAGCTACCCCAGCTGGTGTCCGACACATTCCCAGATTTTTCTTCTACTTGTACATCTATTTTTAATCCCTTCAGATGCCTTTCTGTTTGGCAAAGTGGGTGGAGAGGATGCCTGTCGCTTCCCGTCTTTCAGTTCCCATTTTGCACAAATCAACAAGGAATTAAGAATTAAACAATCACTTCATATCTTAGTTGTCAAATATTTCCCCTTTGGGGGATATGTATTTGCATATCTGAAAACACGTTGGCTTCTCAGTGGTTAAGGGATGCGGAGAATATCAAGAAATTCCTAGAGATGTACCGGTGAAAGCCGTGGTAAGGTGATTATGGGGCGAGGTGATCCAGGAAGGTAGCAAGTGCAGATAATGAGATGAGGGAGAGAGGAGATTTCCAGACCTGACTCAGTCTGACCTCCTGGTTATCCCAGCCAACATCGACTTAGCTTGGGCTCCCCAGAAGCCAACCCTGGAACAAGAGTTTGGATATCTGCCCATGTGGGTGTTAACTTCTTGCATGAACAGGCTGCTCAGCTCAAAGATAGAAAACAGTCCTGTAGCCCTGTGGTTCCCAAACTATGCACCGAAGTAACCCAGGGTGCCCCAGAAAAGTCACAGAAGAAGACAGGGATATTTTCAATTGAGGGAAACACAGCAACATCCATCCAACATGGTGTGAGCTATTAGTCTGAGGTACCTCAGTGTTACGGGTTGATTTGTGTCCCCCAACTCCCAAATTCATAGGTTGAATTTTTAACCCCTGGTGCCTCAGAATGTGACCTTATTGGGTTGAACACCTCTAGTGCTGGAGAGCACATTCTCCCCCTAGGGAACACAGCCCTTCATGAACAGAAAAGGGAAATAGCATGCCTTGAGCCTTTACTGGGTCCTAGGCTCTATACCTTCATCATTTCATTTAGTCATCCCAAATGTACAAAGTGGGCACCACCATTACTATTTATATCCGGTACATGATGAAACTGAGGCTTGGAGAGACAGAATCACATGATCAAGATCTCATTACCAGTAAATGGCAGAACCAGGATTTGAACAGAGGTCTTTTCCATTCCAGAGCCCTTTCTATTTCCAATTCTCACATGGCTCTGACAGGTGAGTGTTAATAACCAAAGAAATAAGAGCTAACATTTACTGAGCACTTCTTTTATGCTAGGCATTGTGCTTCGTGTGGATTGCCCATTTGGTTTTCATCATCACCCTATGAGATTATCATTGAGGCTGCTCAGTGGCCAAGTCAGAATGACTCCAGAGCACATGCCTTTTAAAACAATGTTCTGCTGTGTATTTCTTCATATTGAGCCCAAACCTTCTTCCTATTCTTTGGGCTCAAACAAAACTAGTTGATTTCTTCTTTACCAAGCTTGTTCCTCATAGCCCTTTGTTCTGTTCGGGGCTGAACATTTCTCATTCTATCTTGTCTCTCTCATCCCCTCTCATCTTCCCAACACAATTCATTTTATCTGCATCCTTCTGAAAGCGCTTGCTGATGGCTTGATACTGCCTACAAAAGCAGCAGGGGAGCCAAAACTTCCTATAAACTGGAGGGTCAGACTCGAGTCTTCAGACAATGGTGGGAAAATAATGACTTCCAAGCTTCAGCACCTGGAGCTGTGTGGCTGGGCATTTTGTATTCTGTGGAGGGTCATCTTGCATCAACGCCTTCCAAAGAGAAGGTGAGGTAATTGGGTGGCTGTGATGACGTCATAATCCTCAGCAGCTCAAGGGTTAGAGATCAAACAGGGGTCAGATTGATCCAGTGTGAAATAATGCCAAGGATAAAGCATGCAAGTCGGAACATGTACAATAAATCTTCCCCAAGCCAGAACTCACCCCTACAGGGCTATTGGAAGGATTAAATGAATTAATGTATGTAAAGTGCTAAGTAGAGAACCTGACACAGAGCAGGTGATCAATAAGTATTAGTTTGTATTAATGCCGACTGTGAAATGAACACAGCACTGCACAAATGACGAATTCTTCCTGGGAGTGAGATGTCGGGAAATAAAAATTCTTGCCACTACGATGCCTCATGTGCTCGGCCTTTGCATAATTACCTGTTTTAATCCTTGACCACTTGCAGTAAAGTGATACATACACACACACGCACATTTTAAAGCAATAGAAGCCAAACCTCAGCAAACTTTGGCATCTTATCCAGGGTTACACAGCTAAGGGAATAAGAGGTTAGGCTTTAGAATCAAACAGGAGAGAAATCTCAGGTTAACAAAATTGCAGAGTTAAACGCCCACTTTGAGCTACCCCAACCCCAAGAAGTCATTAGCAGGTTAGTGGCAGGACAGCGCGGAGGAGGGAGTGGTTTGTAAGTAGGTTGAGGTACTCAAACCAGAGAAGATGAAACCAGAGATTAGAGAATGTGGCCCCCTGGCCGGCTGCGCCCGCC